ACCCCCCAAAATACACCATAAACCCCCTCACCAATGGAAAAATAAGCTCTAAGCAGAAAATGATGTTATTCCAACTCCAAAAAGGTGCCATTTCCTCTCTTTTCTTTTTCATCTTCTCCAAAAGAGGAAGTTTTCCTTAAGTATCAATGGTTGGTAGATTCAGCTTTTCATCTCAGGTGGATGGAGAAGATAGAAAATCTGATTTTTTAAATCCTTGTTATCAGCTGTGGAACAATTATTGTTGTACTCTGACTTTAATTTAAAAATTTAAAAATAATTTCATGCTGTCCACATACTTCTATTGGAAGCCTGGCATTCCTGGACATCCTAAAATAATTTAAATAAAATACATTAAAAATATTGGAAAAGATATTATTTTTATTTTAAAAGTCATGTTTATTTTGGGGTGCTTTTTTTTGTTTTTTGTGCTTGAAAGCTCCAAATGCATATTATGCATCTCAGTTGTAAATTCCCTCATAATCATTCCATGGGATCATGGGATTGTGAAATCAATACGTAGGCTGATGCCTAAAAATCCTGTTTGGATTTTTGAATGCAACTGCACTCCTGAATTATTAAGCACCATTTAAATACATTCATTAAAAATATCAGCTGTTTCTTTTATTCGCAATCCTCAGTCGGAGCCTAAAACCCCCTGGCACAAATGGGTCTCTTAATTTGCCTTCTTCCATCCATAATATCTCTGAAGGCCATGGTTTTTTCAGGACCTGCTGGACACCCCACATGAAGGTGCTGCTGTGCATGGTGAACACAAAAGAGTGGGGGGAATGAGGTTTTTGCTGCTACCTTATTCTCTCTGAGCTTTTTTTAAGTATTTTTCTGCCTTGATCATCTCATGGCCCTGCAGACTACCTGGCAGGCTCCCCATCACAGCTCTGTTTGAAGGAGGATTTTTTAAAATTTATTAATATTTTTGCTAGGAGTTGCAAGGTGAGGTTGGGGTTCTGCTTTTTGGCCTACCCAGTTCTGCTATATTGAACACCTGGAAGTCAATTAATCACCACACCAATAACTGTGGGAGCTTTTCCCTAATGAGAAAAAAAAATGAGTGCATATTCCACCCTCAGACAAGCAAGATCTTGTTTGTTTTTTAATCACCTGTCTCTGCCAGAGCTTGGGCAGCCTTTCATGTCCCCCTTGGCAGAGGCTGGGATTTGAAGGCCGGCTGTTTATTCTGAGTGATCTCCCTGCCCTGCTGTGGCTCTGTGCTGACTTTCCCAGCACTTTTTCCAGCCTTGCCCTGCCAAAGCCTCCCGTGCTCTTGCTTTGCCTCCAGTTGGCACCCATGGGCACCTCAGACACTTCACTCCTTCATTAATCTGTTTTCTTGTCCTTATAATAAGCTTCCATCTCCTCATGAAAGTCCTGAGAAGGAGCCTGGTATGGGATTTTTATGCCTCTTGCAAGTATGTTGGATGCCTATGAAAGATGCCTAGTTTGACTCCTCATTTTAAAAATAATTATTTCTGATTAAAAGTATATGTACACTTTCTTAAACTTCCTATGTGTGCTTTGATTAATTTATTAATGTACTATTACCCATTATTAATGTAATGGCTGCTTCATTGTTTTATGTTTCCATAGTTCTAATTTCTAAATTTGAGTGAAAAAGATTCTGCATTGTCTGTGGATTATTAAAGCAATATGAAAGTACCTTGAGTTTTCCTTCAAGGCACATCAGCCAATTTAACTCAAAACAGCTTCAAATTATTAAATTTTGCGCCGTTCAGCCTGGAAAAGAGAAAGTTGTGGGGAGACCCTATAGTCCCATACAGGGTCTGAAGGAGCTGCAGGGAAATTGGAGAGGGACCCTGCAACAGGATCTGGAGTGACAGAACAAGAGGGAATGTGTTCAAACCGACAGAGGGGAAATTTAGATTGGATATTGGGAAGAAATCATTCCCTGTGAGGGTGGGCAGGTGCTGGGATGGAATTCCCAGTGGCTTCAGGATGGAATTCCATGATTTTGTGGAACAGAATAGGTTTTAAGGTTCTTCCAACCCAAATCATTCCATGATTTGATTATGATTCTATCCCTAAAAGTTTCAGCAGATGGTGCATGAAATCTCCTAGCCTGTTTTAGGTGTGTAGAGTACCTGGAGAAAAAAATTAATGGATTTCACTTTTCATTCTCAGCTTCCTTATAATTCATTGCCCTATTGCACTTTTTTCTATTCAACTGAGTGCTTTGTTTCCCAGGCGTCAGTGCAATGCTGGAAGTGTGGGATAAAATATCTTCTGTTCAGCCAGAACCTCTTTCATCTTAAATGCAGGGGTTCTAAGTGCTTCTCTACAGCTTTTCCTTGAACTGGAAAATAAGGCATTGTCCTTGCTATCCAAATTATTTGTTGAACAATTCTGATCTTAGTCTTGGTTTAGCGTAGACTCAGCCTAGCCTGCAATATTGGAATCAGAGAATCCCAGAATTCTGGACTGGTTTGGATTGGAAAGAACCTTAAGGCCCATCCAGTGGCACTCCCTGCCATGGCAGGGACACCTTCCACTGTCCCAGGTGGCTCCAAACCCCCAAGTCCAGCCTGGCCTTGGACACTGCCAGGGATCCAGGGGCAGCCACAGCTGCTATGGGCATTAATGGTGAGTTTAAACCCAGACTAACTGATGGGATTGCTTTTGTTGTGGGTGTGTTTCTAACTCAAATATAGGGTTTTCTGAGAGGGCTCCAACTGATCTGTGGATCTTGAAATAGAATTTTAGCCTTGGTCAGTTTTCTGCACAATATTCTCTCTTCCCATGCAACTTCTATGCCATCCTAAAGCCTTTTAAAAATTCAAGCAGATGTCAAATATATCTTCTTCTCTCTTTCTTTCTGCCTATTTTGAGCTCGTCTCCCTCATTATGCTTTTAAGAGTTTAATTTTTCAAAGAGTCCCAAATGGAATTGGGTGCTGACAAAGGACCTGGCCAGTGGGACAGGGACAGGGACAAAAGCCATAAGCAGGAGTGGAGTGAAAAGTTTCCCAGTCCCAATTTGGGAGGCCAGGAACAACCATCCTCACTTTTTAATGTCCCTATCCCTGACATATCTGTACCTTAAATTACTTTGGTGTGGAAAAGGCTGGAAGAGCCTCTGGACTTGAGGAACCTGCTGGAACTGACTGGGGGGGTGACACCTTGGGGTATGGTGGCAGGTGACTAAGGGGCTACCCATGCACACCTACACAAGGGGTCAATAAACTGCCTTCCCTCCATCCTTTGCATCTTCTTCTGGCTCATCCCTTTTCCCTCTAAGTTTCCCCACACCATCACCAAAGCTCTCATCTCCTTTCCAGCTCTCAGCAGGATGATTCCTGACAGCTCTGCCAAAACTTGGCCAAGTGTGGGCTTGTCTCATTTCTATTCCCACGCTAAATTTCAAGTCCCCTCTTGCAGAACACAGAGCTTTCCAAAGGAAAGGCTGCCAGGACGAGTTGTATGTGGGAAAAAAAGGGCGTCTGGTTTTTCACAGAGCTCATTAAGGGTTTTTGTCATTCAGGGAAATGTTCCAAGGGGAGGGAAAAGCCTGGTGTGCACACATCCATGGGTGGTACATCTGTGGTTGGTTGAGCAGCCAAGGTCAGTGAAACTGTGGGAGTTGGGAATGGCAGCTCTGCAGCTGACACTGGAGGCTGGATTGACAGAGATGAAAGCTGGCACCAGTTTAGGGTGGCTTGACTGTGACCTTGCAGGACCTGAAGGAGCTACAAGAAAAATGGAGACTCTTTAAAAGGCATGGAGGGCCAACACAAGGGGGAATGGCTTTCCAGTGCCAGAGGGCAGGGATAGATGGGATATTGGAAGGAATTGGTCCCTGGGAGGGTGGGCATCCCACAGGGTGCCCAGAGAAGCTGTGGCTGCCCCTGGATCCCTGGAAGTGTCCAAGGTCAGACTGGATAGGGCTTGGAGCAGCCTGGGATAGTGGAAGATGTTTCTGTTCATGGCAGGGGGTGAAATTTTGGACCTTTAAAGTCCCTTCCAACCCAAACCATTCCATGATTTTACAATTCTATCACCATGTTAAACGTTTGAGTTCACTTCCAAATGATGGTGAATTGTTCCCACACCCATCCACACTTTTCCAATGTAGCTGTCCCTGAAATGTCTGTACTTTAAGTTTCTTTTGCAGTGTGTATTTGTGGATCACAGCCATTCCAGCTCCTGATTGTGCTCCAATTTGCTGTTTTCCTATTTTTCAGGCATTTGCTGTGTTTCACAGTGATGACTGAAATCCCTGATTCAAGGGACTATTTATAGAAACACAGTCAAGTATTTGTGAAATTCCTTTATCAAGTGTTTACTATCCCCTTCTAAGCTGATAAGGGGGCTGGAGCACTTTTCCTGTGGAGCCAGTCTGGGATACTTGGGGCTGGAGAAGAGAAGAGAAGGTTGTGTAGAGAAGAGAAGGTTGTGTTCCAGGGTCTGAAGGGATACAGGGAAGCTAGAGAATGACTTTTCATCAGGAACTGGAGTGACAGGACACAGGGAATGGCTTCAGACTGCCAGAGGAGAAATTTAGGTGAAATATAAGGAAGGAATTGTTCCCTGGGAGGGTGGGCAGGCCCTGGCACAGGGTGTCCAGAGCAGCTGTGGCTGCCCCTGGATCCCTGGAAGCCTCCAAGGCCGGGTTGGACTTTGGGGCTTGGAGCAGCCTGGGATGGTGGGAGGTGTCCCTGCCCATGGCCAGGGTAGGACAGGATGGGCTTTAAGGTCCCTTGCCATCCAAACCATTCTGGGATTTTGTGATTCCTTTCCTATGGGATCTATCCTAAAGCTATATCTCACACAAAGGAGGTTGCTATAGAAATGTTCATGTTGCTTGGTTAATTTGGATTTAAAGGGATCATGAGTTGTAAATATTCTTCTTATTCTGAAGGTTTTTTTCTCCTCCAGTACCCTTCCAAGTGAGATGTTGTTGTGCTAAACCTCCAGATCTCCCTGCTGCCTTTCTAATTGCTCTGTTTCCAATGTGATTTCTCATTTCAGACCCGTGTGAATCCCATCAGTGTCACTCCACCCATCCAAGCCATAGATCAGGACCGAAACATCCAGCCTCCTTCTGAACGACCTGGCATCCTCTATTCCATCCTAGTTGGTTGGTGTCTGCTACTTTTCCTATCCCTCCCAAGCAGTCCCTCTGTTATGACCACCCAGGAAAAGATTACCTGGGAGAGTGGAACCCTGATAAAAAGTCCTTGTGTGGTCAGTGGGATATTTGGAATTGTTCTACCTGCTGGTGTTTAATTGCCAAGTAGAAATTCATTTCACGTGGTTATTTATTAGCGTTTATTCAGATTGCATCCTGAATTGTTGTCTGGTTTATTTAATGGAACAACACAGTGAAGGAAAGGAGAGTTCTGCTGGATTGTGTTTTCCATTGACAGACACAAAAAAAGAGGCTAAAAAAAGGCAATTAAAGAAGATTTCATCCCAAAAATCATGTGGCACAGGGCAGCTCCAAGGATCTTACTGCATCCAATTTTGCTGCCTGTGAGCTCTCCTTTTTTTAATTTAAAGTTTCTTTTGTTGTTTATGCTGCTTTGTCTCCTTTTTTCCTGCTGCTTCCCTGTATTTGGCATTTGTTTCTGGGCTTGTAGGACGCGACCATGGAAGGGCCTGAGTTTGGTTGGCAGTTGCAGGGCTCTGCCTGCCCAGCTGTTCCCAAAATGTACACGAGGACCTTTCTGTGGGATCTGGAAATGCAGGAAGTTGTGGAACCACATCTTTTCCCTGTCTTCCCTCTGTTGAACTCCATGGTTTTCTCAGCCAAGGGGAGGTGGAAGAGAGGATTTTGAGGACCACATTGTGGAGGTTTAGCTCTGCAAATGGACTTAGGAATAAAATCAATTTATGACATTTATAAATAAGTTCTGCAGGGACAGCTCTACCCCAGGGCCATGTTTAGGCCAACTTCTAAAGGTTTTTTTGCATAATTTACAGAGTTCTTCAAGAGTGAAATTATTAAAGTTTGTGTGTCACTAACCTGGGATGTTGGGAATATTGGAGTGGCTGTTCTGACCTCCATGAAATAATTCAGAAAGGTGTGGTGCAGCAATTTGAGTTACTTTGGGGACCTTATTTTTCCTTCCTTTTTATTCCTCTTTTTCCTTCTTTCCTTTTTCTTCTTTCTTCTGTTCTTTTTCCTTCTTTACATTTTTTTCTCCCTTCCTCCTCTGTTTCTTTATTTTTTTTCTTTTTGCTTTCTTTTTTTTTCAATTTTCCATCTCTTTTTCATCTCCTTTCCTTCATTCTTCCATTTTTTTTATTTTTTCTTCTTTTCTTCTACCTTTCTTATTCTCATTCTTTTTCCTTTCTTTTTCTTTTTTCTTTTTTTCTTTTCCCCTTCCTCCTCAACCTTTTTGCTCTTTTTTCTTTCTTTTTTGTTCTTTTCTTTTTTCCTTCTTTTTTCATTCTTTTACCCATCTTCTATTCCTTTTTCCTTTTTTCTTTCTTTTTTTTCCTTATTTTTCTTCATTTATTTTTTTATAGTTTCCATTTTCCTTCTTTTTTACTTTACTTGCCACTAATCTTTGCCTTTTTACTTCTTTTTCTTTTTCCTTTTTTCTTTCCTTCTCAGTTCCTTCTGTTTTCTTTTTTGCCTTCTTTTTTCTTTTTTTGTTTTCTCCTTCATATTTTCCTTCTCTTTCCTTTTTTTCCTTCTTTTTCTCTTATATTTTCCTTTTTCTTCCTTTTTTCTTATTTTTTCCTTTTTTCGCCTTCCCTTTTATTTTCCTTTTCCCCTCTTTTTTCTTTCTCTTTTCCTTCTTTTTTCTTCCTTTTTGCTCCTTTCTTAATTTTCCCATCTTTTTTCCTCATTTCTTTTTGCTTGTTTCCTTTTTTCTACTTTCTATTTTTTTTCTTTTAAAATTTACTTGATTGCTTCTTTTTACCTTCCTTTTTTCCTCCTTTTTTTCCCCTCCCATCACTCAGTTTTTTTCCTCTTTTCTGGTTTTCTCTTTTCTGGTTTTCTCTTTTTATTTTCCTTGCTTTCCCTCCCCTGTGCCCTTCCAAAGGATTTCTTTTTGGATTTTAAGTCTGCCTCCATCTCTCCCAGGATTTGCTATTTCTGTTTTAGCCTCAGATGATATTAAGTAGTTCCATAGGAAATGGGCCTTGCAGATATTTCTCAATATGTGGATTTTCTTCCCCCTTTTCTTTAGATCTAAACCTCCTTCTCCTTGATATCTTTGGGAATGTCCTTTTTTAAAAACTGGGAGCTTTGAACTGTGCCCATGGAATTAGGGAATAAGTCACTTATGAGAATGATTTTATTTAATTTGTCTCAGTTTTATTTGGTTCTTCTTTTCCCTTCTTTGCCCACCTGAACAAAGCAAATACTCTGAGCACTGTGGATATTTAACATATTTATTAACATTTGGAAATGGGATATTTAGAAATTTTTTTTAATTTTTTTTGTAATACACTAATTTTTTCAGTCCTTGGCTTGTGGAAATATTTATCTCTTTGGGACTTTGCAATACACCCATTTTCACTGAACTTATCCAGGTGTGAAGCAAGGCCCTTCCCTTTATTTTTATTAGCAAAGTTGTTGATTCTACCAGTAATTTTTATTATTTTGATTAAAAAACTTATTATTTTTAATAGTAAATGTATTATTTTTAATAGCAAATTACTAGTAAAATATTCTTTTTAGGAATAATTTGAAGACCTTATTTTCTCTGAGACCACTCCTTGAGAAAAGCCAAATTTTCCTTCCAATTATTAGCTTTTGCCCCTGTGTGATTTCTGCTGCCAGTTTTGGACACTTTTGGTTGATATTTTTAAGAGAGAGTCAGAAATGCACACTAGCTTTTGGGAAGGGGAGATTCCAGTCCTGTGTCCATTTCAAGTCCCAGGTTCCACAGAACCCCTCCTCTGGCTCTGGGAAAAGCGAATTGAGGAGTCCTTTCCTTCTCCCCCTTGCTGGCCCCCCACATTTTGATTCTTCAGCCTCTCCAAACACATGGAATTTGTGGAGCCAGGAGAATCGGAGCTCATCCCTGGATTTCAGAGCAGGCAGAGGTGGACTGAGGGCTGCTCTGCACTGTCAAAATGGAAATTATTTTGTATATCCAGAAGCAGATATCCCTGTTCCTGGAAAACCTGGCTCCCAGACTTTAGGAATACAGGAATCTGAGCTCTTCCTGAGGTGGGCAGGATCTGAGCAGGCATCCCCAGTCAGGATTTGGGCATCCACCTGTGTTGTACCTTCATTTTTGCTTTTCTATCATCCACCTTGCTGCCTTTTCCTCCTTTACCTGCTGAGGTTGGGTTGGTTGTTAGTGGAGTTTTTGAGGTTTGATTTTTTTCCCTTTTTTTTCCTGGATTCTTTCCTGTCATCCTTACACAATATTAGCCTCATCTTCACTTCTCTAGATCCCTTCATGACTCTTACCCTGCTCCCTTATGTATTTGTTCTCCTTTATGGCACCTCTTGTTTTCTCCTTTCTCGGAGTTTTTGCATTTTGTCCCTAATTTTGTGACACTTCTTAGCTTCAGCAACAGCCGTGGTCATGTGCAGCCTCTAAAACCAGCAATCTGTTACTTGCCAAAAGTTTGGAACTCCTGCCAGGGGCCTTGTGCTCTTCAAAAATTAGATTAATTAATTAGAACTTGAAATTAAATGGCAAGGCAAGGGGATACAGGACTTGGAGCTTGAAGCTCTGAATTTGTGGTGGTGGTATAAGAGAAAAAATAATCCATGGTGATTCTTTTGCTGCATTTTGGGTCTATGATAGAGGTGTAGATTCAGAGAGTCACAGAAAAACACACATATATAATATATATAAATATATATATATAATTTATTTATCTAGCAAACAGTTGTCATTTGAGGTTTGCAAATTAAAATATTGCAGTAATTTATCTCCTGGCTTTCTGAAAGTACTTTCTAGCCATTGCACTTGCAAGGGGAACAAAAACCAGCAGCATTTATCAGGAAAGGGATCTTCCCTTGTGTTGAATCTGTGCCTCAGTGCTGGCTGGATTCGGGGTTTGGCAGGGTTGGGTTTGTGCTGTTCCCACGGCAGCTTTAGGGGCTCCCTGGGCTCGGGGATGTTCTGGGGCTCTTCTCCCTTCAGCCATGAGTACATCCTGTCCTCAGCTGCTGACAGGACTGCTCCCATACCTAAACCCTCAAGATTTTAGACTTAGAATTTTGGCTTCTTGGGATGTTCTCGCAGTATTGCTGAGCTGGGAATGCTGGAGCTCACTCTGTGTGGAACACTTGGGCTTTCTGAGCCCTTTTGCATCATTTCTCTGAGAATCCCAGGGCTGGAATTTTTCCCTCCTCCTGTGCCAGGCTGTGGTGCTGGAACCTTTTGGCTTAGGCATAGGCACATTTTTGCACTGCAGCTGCCAGGCACAGCCTTGGCACAACCAGGCACAGTCCTTTCTCAGTCTCCATGGGCTCCTAAATTCATTTGGGCTCTGAGGCTTCTGTTTTTACTAGCCTAGAGAATATCCTGGAAATCCACAGCCATGAAAACACCGTTTCCAACTGACAATAAATCTGGTACTTCTTCCCTGAGGACAAACTTTTCTTAGAAGGATTTCTAAAATAACCTATTGTTATCATATTGTTATTGTTTTATTACTTATATATATTATTTATATGCTATTAATAATATTCCTGTTTTTATCAAGTACTTAGTGAGTCCCAGTTGAGAGGAATCTTTGTGGGTTTGGAGATAAGGAAATAATAATTCTAAACACATAACTTCATAATATCCTTAATCTCCATGTCCACATAGGGCAATATTTTATCCTTCTAATAACAGAATGAGGCTTTGTTGCTTTGATGATCAATGAGTAAAATAAACACACTGCTGAACTAAACCCTTCAGAGTTGTTTAAACCTCAATGTCTTTTTTGCAGGTACTCCTGAGGATTATCCCCAGTATTTCCATATGAATCTCACAACGGCTGAACTGACTCTCCTCAAGCCAGTAAACAGGGATTTACACCAGAAGTTTGACTTGGTTATTAAGGTAATTTGGGATGAGCTTTTTCAGTCCTTTTATAATCTTTGGAAAACAAAAAGGTCTGGAGAAAATGTGGGGTGGGCCTGCTTGTCTCTTCTGCAGTATTCTCTTCCTTTTTAGCCTGTCAGGTGTCATTTAGCACCATCAGGGGGAAGAAGGGTGTGAAGCCTTTGTGGAAAGGGAATGAACCCTGCCAGAGTTCTAACACATCATGTTACATTGTGTGAACAAACTCAGCATCACTTGTCCCCTCGCTTTTTATGAGCCCCGTTGTCCTGAGAATGCAGCTGGCTTCTATCTCGTGTTCAGTTCACAACCCATTCTAGCAGATCATAGGGATACAGATAATTGTGTGAGTGGTGAATGTTCACAGTATCCCAGCACGGGTCAGGCAAGGGTAGCAGTGAATAATTCATTCTTGAGTAGCGAATATTCACAGGGTCCCAGAATGGCTGAGGCTGAAGGGAGCTCAGAGGGCAGCTGGTGGCACCTCCCTGCTCCAGCAGGGCCATCCCAGAGCACAGGGCACAGCATTGTGTGCACACAGCTGTGCCACAGCCCCAGGCAGGAGAGCCCACAGCCTCTGTGGCCAATGTCTTCAGGGCTGGGCAGTGGCCAGGGAAGAAGTTGTGCCTCCTGGCCAGGGGGAATTGCTGCCATCAGGCCCTGCCCGTGGCTCTGGTGCCATTGCTGGGCCCCCGGAGCAGAGGCTGGGCCCTGCTGGGAGCCCTCCCTGCAGCCAGGGCCAGCCAGGCCTGAGGGCCCCTCTCAGCTGGGGCTCCTCTCCAGGCTGAGCAGCCCCAGCTCCCTCAGCCTTTCCTGGGCACCCAGATGCTCCAGGCCCTTCCTCAGCTGCGCAGCCTCCGCTGGCCCCGCTCCAGGAGCTCCCTGGCCCTGCTGTGCTGAGGAGCCAGAGCTGGACACAGCACTCCAGAGCTGCCTCCAGGGCTTCCCACAGGGGCAGGATCCCTCCCTGCCCTGCTGCCAATGCTCCTTCTGCTGCCCATGCTATTGCTGGGAAAAGCCATAAAGCTCAACCCATCCCTGGAAGTGTCCAAGGCCGGGCTTGACAGATCTTGGAGCAGCCTGGGATAGTGGAAGCTGTCCCTGGCCATGGCACCGGGGGTGGGACTTGATGGGCTTTAAGGTCCATTCCAGTCCAAACCATTCCATGGCTCTAAATATCCTGAGTTACAGGTTTAATCCCTGTAGCCCTTTATTCCCAAACTTGGGCAGCACAATACATCAATTAAAAAAATCAATTAGCTGGTGTGGGAGGGTATTTTCTGTGCCTAAATAGCAGCTTGGATCATTAATGGCATGTTTATAGGCTTTAGGAGGTTCTTGTTGATGTGGTAAACGTGCAGTCAGGGAAAATAAGGAAATAGTAAGGAAAAGTATCAGTCCATAAGAATGATGATGTGCGGCCTGTTAAAACAATAGAAGTTTTAATGCTGTATCCTTCAGGGACCATTGGAATAATGGCTCAGGCTTGTACCGAATCAAACCTTCAGCTTCTTGTGTTGCACATTTCTCATTTCTCACAGTTGTAGGATTTGATTCTGTTTTATCTGGAGGCATGCAATGTGTGATGTTTCCCTTCAAACAGAAAAGCTGCTATTTTTGCAGCACACACTCAATTTAATCTTTAAAATATTCCCTCTGATATGAGAAGATCAATTTTTTTTTCTCCTGTTAAGATATTATGGAAAATTGTGAAATGGAAAAGGTGGTTAAGTCAATATAGGAATATTTGAATGCAGGAAGGAAGGTGGACAGGAAATGGGAGCACTCACCTGCATTGCTGATAAATGTTGAATTCTCAGATAGGGAGACAATGAAAAAAACTAAAGATCCTAAATAAGAAATGCTGGCTTTCAGGCTTCCTCTACCTCTGGAATATATTAGATGATACGCAAGGAAAAAAACAATTTTGCCCTCCTACGGACGCTCTTGGCACTTACATTCCCTGCCAAGAAACATGAGCATTATTACAACATCCTTATAACAAAATGTAGATTTTTGGGTGCTTCCCGTTGAAATTTCTATTTGGCAACAACAGGGCTGCCACAATATGTGGATTAAACCTTTAAACTGAAAGGGCTTATTTGAAATTACACTGGCATGACCATTGCAGTGTGGACATGAGATTATGTTCTAGTTACCAGCTCTAAAAAGCGTCAGACAATTTTTTTGGGGTTTTTTTATGAGCATGAACCAAATGGGAGAATTAATCAAATTGATGCACTTTGCTTCTTCCCTATTTGAGCAGAGGTTATTTATCAATCAGACAGAATCTAAGCTGGCACTTCCATTATGATCCATTTGCAAAGAGGATGGGCTATGGGAGGCTGGATGTGCTGGCACAGGCAGGGAAGTGCTCATGGATGGAATTCCTGTGCTTTGGAGAATCTACCACACCTGGGGGGGAGCCGATTTTGATAAACTTGCTCATGCTGGGGGTTATTCAGTTCACAGGGACTCACTTTTGGAGTAGGCAGAAGATAAGGAGCTGCAGGAGTTTCTCCTCAGTATTTTCAGTACATTTATATCCAGTAATTAAGGAAAAATCATGGCATTTTTCCATTCAAAGCTGCTATAAAACCTGTGGGAGTTGCAACAGCAAAAAAAAACCTGGAAGTATTTTGACGCTAATGAAGGGCAGAGAATCGCAGACTGGTTTGGGCTGGAAGGGACCTTAAAGCCCATCCAGTGCCACCCCCTGCCATGGGCAGGGACACCTTCCACTATCCCAGGCTGCTCCAAGCCCTGTCCAGCCTGGCCTTGGACACTGCAGGGATCCAGGGGCAGCCACAGCTGCTCTGGGAACCTGTGTCAGAACCTCCCCACCCTCACAGACCTTTTCCATTTCTGGTTGTACCACTCTGGTCTATGTTACTTACCCAGAACTACGTCAGATTTTCTCCCCTTTAAAGAAAATGCATCTTTGTCAAATTCAAAATCAGGGGAAGCATTTTATTTCTCCTGCAAAAATTGATTTTCTGTTTCTAATGGCATTGTAGTAGTGACTAAAAATGCTTTGATTTTTAGAACATCAGGTGGAAAAATAGAGGAGTTTTTGGATGATCTCATGTGGGCACCTGTGTACTGGTAAAATGAAATTGATCACTTTAGAGTAGTTTAGATAGTTAAATTGATAGATAAATTTATTTAGTTAATTAAATTGATAGTTCTAGAGTGGGTTTTCATCCAGTCTGCCTGGTCTATTCATAAACCACTGCCTGTTTTATTTTATTGCATTTGGGAAATTAGGGAGGACTTATGTGACTTGGGCATCTCAATAAAAACACAAATTATTAAAAAAAAATAGTGGGGAAGAGGGAAAAGGTAAGATAAGATTCCTAGCTTTAAATAACATTTGTAGCCTGACTTATTAATAAGACTTTTCCATGAATCTGAGAATTTTATGGCTTATAGGGAGTACACTCTCATAACATGGGCTAGTGGAAGAGGAGGTAGAACTGGATGAGCTTTAAGGCCCTTCCAACCCAAACCACACTGTAATTCTGTGAAAAAGATTTGGTTTCTGTCCCTTGGGTGGTTTTGGTGTCTTTCCCACAGAGCTGGTGACAGAAATGTGCTTCAACACCATGCCAGGGCAGCATAGAGGATTTTGAAGAATATTCTTGCATAGCATTTTCTGTATTTCTTGGATCTATCCCTATGAGCCCAGGAGGGCTTAGAGCCAGGCTGTCATTAACCCAGTGACAGACAATTCCTTGGAAACATCTCTGCAGGGGGATTGCATTTCCCTGTTGTCTAGGGGGTAGAAGAAGGTCAGAGTGGAACAGAGTGTTTGTAACTCCAGTGTTAGAGGGGATATTAGTTTGGGATCCCATTGTGCATGGAGATCGTTTCTGCTGTAATATCTACTCTGTCTACTCCACAGTTTCTCCTGCCTGGATTTTTTGAACCAAGTGGGATTTCCAGCCAAACTGGGCAGCACAGGCAGCTCCAATCTCTGCTCATTGTGACCAGGGAGAGGACCCAGCGAATGGCCAGAGCAGTGCTTGAGTGCCAGGGGAGGTTTAGGTTGGAGATCAGGGCAAGGTTCTTCCCCCAGAGGGTGCTGACACTGCCCAGGCTCCCCAGGGAATGGGCCTGAGGCTGCCAGAGCTCCAGGAGCGTTTGGACAGCGCTGCCAGGGATGCACAGGCTGGGATTGCTGGGGGATCTGGGCAGGAACAGGAGCTGGATCAGTGATCCCTGTGGGACCCTTCCAGCTCAGGGATTTTGTGGTTCTCTGATTCCTTTCTCGTGGAGGTGCTTTGGATCAGAGAGATGCCCCCAGCAGTCCCAGTGTAGTTAAACTCTTCCCAAATGTCCATGATTCTCTTGATGTGGATTTCAGCAGAAACAACAGGAAGTGATGCTCTCCTCACTCTGGAGGTTGTTTGGTTTCTCTTATCCCATTCAGAGCTTCATTGATCCTCCTATCTGTTACTCTCAGAGCTGTCAAGAAACTCCTGCATTAAAAGGAAAAAGGTCATCACTTCAGAAACAGCCTCAGGATCAAACTGTGGACAAACCTTGGAAGTCAGGAAATACGGATATTTATGTGCCACATTTGGTGTGATTGCACAGGGGCTGTTTCCTGTTTGTCGTGGTTTTAAACCAATAACTAAGAAAATTACTTATTTCTTACTGTGAGATATGGATTAGAACAAGAGCAAAACAGGCATAAAACTGAAAAGGAAAAAAAAAAAGAAAGTTTATTGACAAACTACAGTAATAAGAACACCAGAATAAACTTCCAGAAAAACCTTTCCATCCCCTATCTACCCACTATTCCCTTGTTCACATGACAACAGAGACAAAAACTCTGGAACTCTGATGGTTAAAACAGTCCCAATTCTTGCTAGTATTTTCACCAGTCTTTGTAGAGAAACAGAAGTTTCTTCCTGTTAATTTATGGAGTTTCTCACAAGAAAACTATTTTTGTTATAGTTTTCCATTGCCCTAATGTTAGCTGCTCAGAGCTGCTA